ATTGATACAAAAAATAGTGTTATAAGATTTATTATATCAAATATTTTTTAAAATACTGTTTTATCTAATTAATAAACAATATATTTTTTATTTTATTATATGTCAAAGAGTGGAAACAGTTGACCGGAAAAAGTCAAAACTGAAGAAATACTCAGGAACAAAGGGAGTAACACTTTTGTATGATTTATAAGGACTGCCAAAAACATCTAAAACTTATAATTTCAACCTGACTTTTTTTCTCACTCACTAAATAATAATATTGGTGGGATTATTAAGAGCATCAAACACTTCGTTGCAATGTGTTTCCACAAGGATATGTCTCCAATCTTTGTTCTTGATCTAGCATAAAGCCTCGTTTACTTCAATTACCTCCGCTTCTATAGGTCTAGAATGTCATCTACAATGCAAATTATGTAAAGCGATTAAAGCGGTTGACAGTTTCGAGCAATAAAATCGAAACCCGAGACCCTATCGGCCAATCGCGTCTAAGCATCCACATTAATCTTGACATAGACGTTATACAACCGCCATTCATAGACAAAAATATGATTCTCCCCACTTTAGTTTAGATTATCAAATAAAATAGATTCATCTCTCCACATTAATATGATTCTCCTCCCTCATATTGATTAAAAATATTACTTTTCTTTCCACGGATTAATTAAAAAATATACTGTGACTCTATTATTATTCTGCTTGCATTAATTATGATTCAAAGAGTATGATTATTCAATTTTGCATCACTGCATTAATTTTTATTAGCAAAATAAATATTAATCATCTCTCCCGCACTATTATGATTTTCCTCTCTCGCATTGATTAAAAAAATATCGGAATGATTCTTCTTCCTCAGCACATGTCAAAAATAAAATTTTAGATTAGCAATCAAATGATACAAAAAATAATAATAAAAAATAATTAAAAATCCAATGATTCTATTCATTAGCATTATTTAAAAAAATTAAAATTAAAAAATATTAGTGATGCTATGATTTTGAATAGAAATTTACAAACATATTTGATACTATTGATATAATGATAGTTGGTTTTTTTGTGTTTTTCTTTTCATTTGAATACAAAATTACTCCTTTTTTAAATTTATTTAATTTAAATATTTGATCATTTTGAAAATAGTCTAGTCGTTTGCGGTATTTTAATGTAGAAATTAAAATATATTTTAATATTTTATTTATATCAATATTTTTTTAGATAAAATCAAAATTAACTTCATTTGAGCATGTCATAAAAAACATGACTTCTTAGATGCTATCAAACACACACATCCTTTATCCTTTATCCTTTATATATAAATTTGAGAGTTTGATGCATAAGAGCTTGACATGTGGCACAATATGGAGTATACATGTGGCAAAATGTTGGACATATTATGTGGCATTTCATTTATGATCTAGACTCCATTAAATATTATTTGACATGTGGTTAAACTTTTATTTTTGATCAAAAATAAAATTATTAAAAATAAATTTTTTTAATAAATTCTTTTTATTAAATTATTAAGAATAAAAATGTTCAATAAATCCTTTATATAAAGTTATTAAACTTTTATAAAATATTTGAATAAATTTAATTATGAAATATTCATTTTTATAATAATACTTTTCCATGATTCAATATTTTTTCTTCATTTCTAACAAATTTTTCAATTACCTAATACACTACTTTCATCCCCTCTAAATAAATTTCACATGATTGTTTGTTTATGATAAGTTAAAATGAAATTAGTTTTGAATATATTTCTTTCAATATTGATATGAAATAAAAAAAAACAACATATTTTAAAAATTACATTAGTCATTAAAAAAAAGATGGTTGGATTATAATAATGTTCAAGTATAAAAAAGATTAATATACATAATTTGGTAATTAATTATTTTAATTTTATAATTTTAGTTAATTACAATAAAATTTATACTTTATCGGATTTTAGATTCTTTATCATTTCACTTTTAGCATGGATATATTAAGCGTTTATATACTTTTGTATAGGTTTTTCGCATAAATAATTAACTTAAAATAATAATGTAAAACAATTTTAAAATATACAAACCAATGTAAATATTATTCATAAAATTTGAAACTGGAAGAACATTACCCTTGAATTTATATAGAATATTGAAACAAAAAAATGAAAACAAAAAAAAAAAGAAACAAAAAATTTAATCATGTAATGTTGGTTAAAGAGCAAAAATTAGAGATCTTTTTTAGAGAATATTCGAACATATTGGGAATATGATTTTTTTTTAAAGAAAAATCTTATAATTTTAATAAAACATTAAATATAGTAATTTGCAATATTACTTGCCTTTTTTCAATTTTAAATCTTATAAATTTAATGAAACATTAAATATAGTAATTTACAATACAACTAGCTCTCTCTTTAGATTTGTTACTTAAATCACTCAATTTTAGAGTCATATTAATAAAAATAATTGATGCCCTTAAAATTCAATTACAAAATGTTCAGATATAATTCAAGAAATGTGTAATTTCATCTATCACCATCACTAGAGCTTAAATACACACACGTTCAGAGAGGATTAATGTTTTGATTAAAAATTAGAATATGTATTCAAACTTAATTTTCTTTTTTTAAGTATAATTGGTAGGAGCATCCAATTTTTCTATAACAATTGAAAACATGGAAAATTAACTAAACGAGAGATAGACGAAATCAACTAGAAATGCAAGAGAAAGGAGAAATGAAACACTTCAACAAAAAAGCACATAAAAAAGGTGCATATTTTTACAATTATTGTTTTATTTTAGCAATTCAGCATACATCTATCACAATCAAAAATATCTTTTGGAGGTTTCCTAGGAGTCATATGTAATTAAACTCTAAAACTGTTTCTTTAGATTTTTTACGCATGCTTCTTTTGTATATAGTATCCTAGCTAATTAATGCACACATATTTAAAAATTTTGAAAATAACTAAATTAAACAAAACATTACTGGCTATAATTTCTTCATTGTTTTTTAGGCAACAAAGACGATTGATAGGCCGCTTGCAATGTGTGCCAATAGGAATAGAAAAATTGTACTACTTGAAAATACTATTAGCCGTCTAATGGGGATGTACAAGCTATCAGAGCTTGAAGACAGTTGCCAATAATGTTATACGAACAAAACTTATTCGACAATGCATGTGAAACATTGGAGTTATTTACCAATGATAAAGGAATTTATTGAAGATCTTTCTATAAAAATGTAATTTTTTTATTTATATAAATATCAATATGAAATGTACTCTGTATGATATATATACAAACTTTGGACTTGAGATATGGGTTAAAATCTAATGATTTAGTTCCATTTTAACCATTTTTGTAGAACTTATTACTTTTCAAGAAGATCTAAAAACTTTATGTTTGATTGAGATTGAAAAGTTAATTAATTCAAATAGATGATCCTTATAAGAGTTTATTGATATGCCATTCCGAGATGACAATCCACTTAATAGATTTTAAAATAATGTATATTGGTATAGGAGTTGAACTATGACAAATAAAAGTTGTCATATGATCTTAAATACTCCCTCTGTCCTAAATCCACTTCCCAGATTGACTAAAACCTATTTTTTAGGGATTGATTGATATGACTTTGACTTCCAAAAATGCCCCTCCATCTAAACTCGAAAACATAAAAGTTTTCTGCCTTTTCCTGTAATTGGGCAGTGTAAACGGTGCTCGGGCGGCCTACTCACCGGCAATAAATGACTGACATACCCACAATTAACATGTCTAGCTTGATCGAAAAGCATAGCTGTTAATGTAGCGGCATGTAAATGTGGCCAAATAATAAAATAATTGATGAGTAACAGATTGAATAACCAATCGAAAAAGGACTGAATTGTGATTAAAAATAATTGAAAAAAAACTCTAGACGACTATAGAAAAAACATATCTAAGCCAATTTCTGATTGAAGGTAGCGGCTAATGAAGCTCATCATCATCTCCAATTCCGTGAAGCTAATAAGACTTCGAATCACATACCAACGACCTTACTACTCTTGGCGGCGTCCTTCCTGCAACCCCAATCCCGAGATGCCGAGTGGATATGTTGAGATGCCGAGATTCTGAGTGTGGAGGGGGAGCTGATGAAGATGAGACGATCTCAAGAACGGAGATGGTTGCAAGTTTGATCCCTAAATAAGATCTAGGTTTTGAGGACGAGAATTGAAAGAGAGACGAAAATAAGAGGGAGATGGAATGTCGACAGAGTGGGAAGGCTGGGGAGTAGATGTTTTAAGGGTAGGATTTTCATTTTACACCCTTTTGGGGATGTGGGAAGGTAATTTTAGGACATTAAAAATGAAGAAGTGGGAAGATAATTTTAGGAGAGAGGGAGTAATATATATCTACAATGAATGAAAACCAGAGGAAGATACACGACGATGAACACTTTACGTTTTGTTATGACTATGGATAAAAGTCAATGATATGTCAAATATTATCATTTGTTGAATTATTTTTGACTGGGTTGAAGTTCACTCATAGTTAACTTTATGTCATTGCTTCACGAGTGAGAAACTAAGATAGGGTTAAAAATATTAGTTCTAAATAATAATGAAAATCCTTGCAACCACACCAAAATGTTATATTCCCCAAAGACTTTCAAACAAAATATGAATTTTGAAAATACTTTGAGGTGTTTACTTTTGAGTTTATATAAGCATTTTTATAACCAATTATTAAATGCCAAATTATTTATTTTACTTTGATTTAAATGTCTACAGAGTTAAAGAACGCATTACATATATTTCTGTATTCATTTAAAAAATATTACATTGAATATAATTCAAAATATCAATAAAAATTTTGTTCGCCCCCGTGCGTGGCACGGGTTAAATTACTAGTTACTAGTCCTTTAATATAAAATTTGAGAATTGATTAAATTAGACGATGACATGTGTACTTAATGAGAGTTTATTTTATTGACAAATCAGCATCAAGTCAAGTGTCATTCTGCTGTGCATATTGCAAGAAGAAGAAGAAAAAGGAATTCCCCAGGCATCATTCTCTTCGTCGTCAATTGATTTCCAGCGGAAGGTTTCTTTTCTCGCCTTTCCAGGATTTCCATCTTCATCCGAATTTTCATTCAAGAAAATTTGAGGAAAGTTTCCTTTTTTCGTCCGGGATCTATGGCGTCCAAAACAGGTATCTTTCACTCGAAATTAGGTATGAAACGTTAGAATACATCTTAATCGGTTAGACCCGTTCCTTCTCTGCAACGGCCAAACTCAGGGAGCAGCCGGAGAGCTTTCGCTGGACGGAAGAAGTTGTTCGATCCAGGGCTCGAATTTTACTACTTTCGCATCGGAAATCAACTCGATCTAAATCTGGTATTCTTCACATATATCCGATTTTCTACGGAGGATTGATATTGGTAAGTTATGTCTTCATCCTACCAACTCAATGGGCATTATGTGTTAATTTCTAGGATATTATGTTGCGTCTGAATTCCAATTACATATTAAATTAAATAGTTTGATTAATTTTATACTGTGTTCGTGGGATTCAAATCTCCCAATTGCCATGAAATTGTGTGAATGCAAGATTTCATATTTTAACCTAGATTTTATTCTACAAACACAAAATGAATATTGATATCGAAAATACTAATTTCAGTAATTCTTTATGAGCATGAGACCAGCAATGTTATATAAAATAAAACTGTATAGCTTATAAACAATAAAACTGTACAGCAAATAGTCTTTGGAAGTTATAACTCTTCCTCTTAATACACAAAAAAGTAGTTCTGCACTCTTATGCGTTATCATAAGCTAAACCATTTTATCGAGTTCTTTTATTATTAAAATATTTGTCGTGATTTTTGTGTACGAGATTGATTGTGTACAAATTACGCAGAGCCAAAGAAAAGATAAATGGGTTTTGGCAAAAGAAGCGAGAACACGGCGAAAAGATATTCTTCAGCAGAGAGCGCAGAACGGTTTATTTACCTTTCACTTTTTTTCTGGACTCTATTTAAACATATATAATACTCAATATTATGTGAACAATTATTTTTCTGCTTTTAGCTTTTGTATTTTTTATTTCAGAGGTTGAGAGATCGTCATCAATGTCAGAATCTAGAGCATCGTCAAAAATAGATACGCTGGGGGATCTGACAAATGGTATCTATAAATTCTTTATGATTTAATATATGTCTATGCATGGGTTATATTCAATCATAAAAATAAAAACAACAATATAACCCTATCTCATAGCATCTTATTTTTAATCCTTTAAAAAAACAGTGATAGCACCGCACCAAGGGCATTCGTCAATTTGTATTTCAAGAACACCAGAGAACAATGATGTAACAACTTCGGCACAATTACAAATGCATAAAAGACAGAGAGTCAGTGATCTCTCTTCTATATCACATATCATTGATTTCACCGAAGGTAATAATAGTACAATCGTACTTTAAATTGTGTTTCAATATATCGATCATTACTCTGGATAGATTTGATAGATCTATATCCATGGAATACTGCTGCAATGCTTTTTTTGGTTTTAGATGTTGGTGAACAATATACTTTTGATCAAACCAATGCTGGAGATTCACTAATTCGTAATACTGCAACTGCATATTCGGAAGTTATAGGTGTGTACAAATAAAATGAATCATAACTAAATTATCCTTGCTTATAACATACATTACTTCTATCCATATTATTTTCCTTTTTAAATTTTTTTATAGTGGTAATTTTGTAAGAGTAAGAAACCTGATCGCACGCATACAACGTGAAACAAACAAGAAATGGTTTGTGCAAAAGATGAAAGAGCACGAAGAAAAAAATATATGTGAACGAAAAAGAGAGAATCACGATTATTTTAAGCCTGACTTTTTATATCTTTCAATATTTAAAGTATATATATATCAATTTAGACTTACAAATTAAATATTGTTCTGAGTTTTTTTTGTTTGTAAAATATATATTTACAGATGGTCAAGCATCGTCGTTGTGCGTAACAATGTCACCGGTTAAAATCAAGAAAAAAATAAATCCAATACTGGATATGACGAACGGTATGTATACGAATTAATTGGTTTATGACATCTGTATTGTATATTAATTAAATTTACTATTACTTGATTATAAGTTTCTTATCTGAATTTCATCCCATCCTATCGTACTCTTTTAATTTTTTTAGACTTAGGCTATTGGTACTTCATACCATTTTTTATTTTAAAAATATGTGACATAGTCAAAATATGGATTACAGGTATTCAAAGTCAAGGAATTGAGAAATGGGATATGACAAAATATGAAAGAGAACGAGAAAAAGCTATACTCTGACGAAGAAGGGTGCAGAATGGTATGTTTAGCATAGCTTCAATGATCTAATAAAGGTTTAAACTTTTATATCACTTAAATATTTAATTTTAAATTTTAATTAATTAACTCCATTAAACTTCTATTATAGATGGAACGGGTTCATCATCAATGTCACTGTCCAAATCAACAACGAAAAGATTTCTGTTGGGGGATGTCACAAATGGTATCATAACATTTTTTATTTGAAATATGACGTTTCTGAGGTTTTTTCCTCTTGCCAAATAAGTAAACGAGTAGGATCTCTTCTCAATGCAGTGTTAGCTTCACACAAAGTTCAATCATCAATGAGTACTTCAAGCACAATAAAGTACAATGATGTGGAAAATTCAGTACAACTACAAAGGCATAATCTTGAACGAAACATTGATTTAGCTTCTATATCATGTGCCATAGATTTCAATGAAGGTAACACTACAATAATCATAGTTGTGGATGTGTAACTATGTCTCTATCATTCATTCTACATATATGTGATTCATCTCTGCCCATATTACTTACCATTTTAAAATTTAAAAGTGATTACTAGAGATAAAATAAAAAATATTATTATAATACAAATTTGGAACACAGTTGGGCAAAGTCAAGTAAACGAGATATGGGCTTTGGCAAAAAAATGCAAGAGCACGACGAAAAGATATACTTCGACAAAGAAGAGTGCACAATGGTATGTTTGGCCATTATTTGAGAATTTGATAAAAGCTAAAACATGTATATCACTTTAGAAATCGTTAATAAATATTTTACTTTGTCATCTTCGTGAATTTTCTTTAACAGGTTTAAACGGTTCGTCATCAATATCACAGCCCAGATCAACAACAAAAGGAAATCCATTGGTGGATGTCACACAGTATAAAAACCTTATTTTTATAAGTTTTAGAATATTATCAACTCAATATTTCTCTTGCAGAAGAAAAAAATCAGTGGTTTTCTTTTTATCTCAATGCAGTGTTAGGATCACACGAAGGTCAAACATCAATTAGTACTTTAAGCAATAAAAGTACAATGATGCAACTACGTCGGCACAAATACGGATGCATAATTTTCAAAGAAAGATTAATCTATCTTCTGTATCACGTGCCATTGATTTCAATGAAGGTATTAGTCCAACCGTCATCATTATGTATGTATTACTATGTCTCTATCATGCACTCTACGTATATGCATGTAATAAATACCTACACATAATTATTTCCTAGACATCTCTATTTGTGTTAAATTTTGTATGAACAATATACATCTGATAAAAGGAACGAATTATAAATTATGATTCATGATCGAGAATGTGGCATAACTAAAAAAACACATGTTAACAATAATTTGTGAATTTAGTCCATATTATCTTCATATTTAAAAGTTTTTAAAATATGTTTTCTTAGAAACTTTTGGCAATTTTAACCAAACCCATGTAAAAAAAAAAAAAAAAACTATTTGCAGGCCTAGAATGCAAAACAAACAAGAAATGTGAATCAACAAAAGATGCAAGAGCAAGAAGAAAAAATATATATGAACGAAGAAGAGAGAATAACGGTTAATTTAAGATTGAGTTTTTATATCTATCAATATTTAAAATATGTATATCAATTTAAACTTGCAAGGTAAAAATTGTTTGATTATTGTTTGTTTATATAAAATATATTTACAGCTGGTGAAGGATTGTTGTTGTGCGTAACAATGTCATCGTCTAGGTCAAGAAAAAAAATAAATCCAATACTGGATATGACAAACGATATCTATATAAATTAATTGATTTATGACATCTACTTTGTCTATTAATTAAACATATTTTACATTATTTTTATATTTATAAAACTGACTTCGCAGTGTTGGCATCGCGCCAAGTACGATCATTCATTCAAAATAGTTCAACGAGACTTGAGTACAATTCTACAAGAACTTCAACACACTTTGAGTCGCGTGTTAGACAAAGAATCAATGATTTTCCGAATATAATGCATTGCAGAGATCTCAATGAAGGTAATATTAGAACATGTGTCTCTATGTTTGAATTACTAAGTAGCAATATTTATTCACATATCTAAATTTTCTTCGTATATGATATATATGTGATAGGTTTCAATGGCCTATTTCTTTATAGAATTAGTGGCAAATTCTTCATGTGAGCAGACAAACTCAGAAGAGTTCTCAATTGATAATCCTCTATTTGTAATAGCAGAAATGAAAGGTACTTATAGATTTAATTTAAACATAATGCTTTAGGTGATTTTACAATTACCAAAATATTTTTTTTCTATCATCTAATATTCTCTATTTGTATAGAAATAATTGGCATGATTTTGGTGACCCAGCGTGCAAGTCTGCATTTTGTGAAGCTTTGTTACGGTATGAGGAAAGGGCCGAAAAGTCTAGAGTCAAAATCTAGAGTTCTCTATTTGTTGTATGAAAGGAAAAGTACAACTCCCTCTTCTAAAAAGACCACCAGGTTGATGCAAGAATTCTCATTTTATGACAAATATAAGACAATACAATTGTATGTTTTCATTCACGTTATTTGATGGAAAAATACAAAAGTCTCAATTGATAATCCTCTATTTGTAATAGCAGAAATGAAAGGTACTTATAGACTTAATTTAAACATAATGCTTTAGGTGATTTTACAATTGCCAAAATATTTTTTTCTATGATCTAATATTATCTATTTGTATAGAAACAATTGGCATGATTTTGGTGACCCATCGTGCAAGTGTTCATTTTGTGGAGCTTTGTTATGCTATGAGGAAAGGGCCGAAAAGTCTAGAGTCTCTACACATCTAGAGTTCTCTATTTGTTTTATGAAAGGAAAAGTACAACTCCCTCTTCTAAAAAGACCACCAGATTTGCTATTTAATTTGTTTAACGGCATTGATGCAAGAATTCTCATTTTATGACAAATATGAGAAAATGCAAATGTATGTTTTCATTCACGTCATTTGATGGAAAAATACAAAAGTCTCAGAACAATGGCCGAGCAACTCATTAAGAGGAGGAATGATCACAATATTGGATCTTTATTGCCACATGAGGGTGTTGTTCCAAAATTCACTCAATTATACATATACGATACCCAGAATGATGTCTCAAACAGAATGAGCAATTACAAGTACTTACTATATACATCATACTCAGCTCATTCTTTATACATATGATTTATTGAATAACCCAATAACAAAATGTTTACATTTTTATACAGTAAAACAAATAAATGATCGACTACAGATAGAAGTTTAGTCGAGGATTTGAAAAATATGACAGATCAGTATAATGTTTAAGAATGACTAGAGACTTCATCGAACGTGAACCTACTGCTAATTTTTCCTTGAGATCACTACGAACAAGAAGTCGGGATTTGAAGAACATGGATATGAAGAAGAAATTCCTATAAGGGAATCTTTTTTTACTGGAAAAAATGTAAAGCGTCCAAGGGTATCCATAAGAGAATTTATAGCATTTCGCATTCATGAAAGGGAAAATGATGGTGGTATTGTCTTACGCACACAGAGGTTGTTCTTACAATTTTTGGTTGACGCATTTACAATGGTAGAAGCACAACGAATTCAATGGGCTCTTAGAAATCAAGATAACTAAGAGGAGATGTTCTGAGTGACTTGGAGGGAGCTATTACAAGAGGTGATACAGATCCAGCAACATCTGGACAATGTATTATCTTGCCAACTTCTTTTACTAGTGGAATGAGATATATATTTAATAACTGTCAAGATGCAATGACAATATGTAGACGTTTTGGATATCCAGATTTGTTCATTACTATCACATGTAATCCTCAATAGCCAGAGATTGCAAGATATATGGCTAGAAGCAATTGTGAGGCAGGAGACAGACCGAACCACAAAATTGTTTTGAAGAAAGGAGTACCAATTATGCTATTAAGAAACACTGATCAAACATTTAGGTTGTGTAATGGTACAAGGTTAATAGTTGAAGAGTTGCGAAAAAACGTTATCAGTGCAATTGTTGTATCAAGAAACAATGCCGGTGAGAAAGTTTACATACCAAGAACGAATTTGGTACCGTCAAATCCTGGATTACCGTTTAAGTTTCAAAGAAGACAATTTTCAATATCTTTATGTTTTGACATGACAATCAATAAGAGTCAAGACCAAATATTATCATATGTTGGATTATTCTTGACCAAATCGGTATTCACTCACGGTCAACTTTATGTTGTAGTTTCATGAGTGAAAACTAAGACAGGATTGAAAGTGTTAGTTTTAGATGGCAACGATAACCCTTGCAATTGTACAAAAAATATGGTTTACCCTGAAGTTTTCCAAAAAAATTGGATTTAATTGATACATTTGCACATTTTTTTCAATTTTTATATATATGAATTTAAGTTACCATGCTCTGTTTATGTCGCATCTAACATTCTATATTATATGTACTTTATTTTTTAATTTTTTTCGTAAAACAAAAAATTAATATAGTTAAAAGTAACATGTGTTAGATCCCGTGTGTTGCACGGGTTAAATACTAGTACTAGTCCTTTATATATAATATTTGAGAGTTAAACTCTCAGAATTGCGACATTTGACGTGATGACTGGAATGTTTTTTAACACCTAATCAGCCATGTCATCAAGAGAATTGAATCGAACTTTCCTTCGACTAATTTATGATATAATAAAAGAAATTATGTAACTTAATAAAATTAGTGAAACATAAATACAACAAAAAAAATTTGCATGGGATATATACAACAAAACAATATTTGCAAAAAAAGGGAATCACATATTTTTCATTTGAAATTTGAAATTTACTAGCTTAAACATGAGTGGCTAATAGAAGGACACAACACATTAAGATACCCGTAAATGTACAATTGAGATAAAATTATAATTATTATAACGGAGACCTAAATTAGACAAAGGCTAATCCAAAAGGGTCATTTTGAAAAATTACTCTTCATTTAAATGTTGAAAATACCTAAATTTTCTCCATTGAACATTCATTTAAGAAACATATACGGAAGACACTGAGTGAATAAATCTCAACTATAAAGTACTCCACAGATAATTAATGCTTAAAAACACTGATTTGGAAAATACATTATTCAAAGAGACTATTTCGAGATTACACAAAGAAATTTATAATTTATAATTAGGTGACTAAAAGACTTAAGACTATATGTTTTAAGGAATAATTATACGTGTCATGATTATTTACTTTATTTTTAGACAAATGGATAATATGTCTACTATGAGATTGACTCAATGCATATCTTACATAAAAGTTTTGTTTATGGCAAGATGACTAATTGTGATATGAAATAAAAGTATTTCCATGCAATTTGACTATTTTAAGATATTGAATTTTTAAAATAAACAAATTAAAAAAAAATTAATAGGACTTTTAAACTTTATCTCGATAACTTGGTTTACTATTTTTAATTAAAATAATCTTATATTGTAACTTACAATTTACTCAGTACATACTTATATTATTATTGTGTTAGAATTCAAAATGTTTATAAATAAAATTAAGAAATTTTGAATGAGAGAGAACTTATTTCCTACGTTTTCATTTACGCAACCATACATGGAAACTTCATAAGATGATATTTTATGAGACGGCACAGATTTATGCAAAGAAGATTTGTGACAATGAAGATTTAGGATAATCAAAAAATTAGGAAAAATTGTGCAGAAAATCCAAAATGCAGTAGCTAATAAGTTCGAGACTTAGTTACAGGTTACAACTACATCAAAGAAAATACAATTTCTCATTTGTAACTATTTGTATTTTGATAGAACATTTTATATCTTAACCAGAATACTATCCCGACAAAATTATTAGAGCACTAAGATTTTAATATTTTTTAAAATAAATGTGAGGAAGAAGAATAATTGATTCTTAATATTTTAAAATTAAAATTTTAATCATAGAGATTTACAATCACTAATTTAAGATTTTGTTTTTTAATAATGCAAGAATGAATAATAACTTTTTATAATCATTGTGGGGGGGGGGGGGGGGGGTTGATAAGGATTATGGATGAGAAGAATCCTATTTTTTAATTACTACCTCCGTCCCTGAGTATTTGTCCAGTTTTGACTTTTCCGACTAATTGTTTTCAATATTTGACTTAGAATTAAAGAAAATATATATTATATATTAAGTATATAAAAAATATTTTGAAAATGGATGATATAATAAATCTAATAAAACTAATTTTGTATCAATATCTAATATCATTTTTATTTAATTTGAAGTCAAAATTTACCAATTCTGACAAAAAAAGTCAAAAGTTAACAAATACTCAGGGACAAAGGAAGTATATAATTATAAGGTCGGTAATTTAGGTTTTTTAAATTAATGTGAGGAAAAAAATCATTGGATCACTAATACTTTTGTATTAATATATTTTCGAATTTATACTGCGATAAAAATTATAAATTTGTAAAAATTCATTAAACATAAATCATTTATATTTGACCTTTAAATAATATGTCAAATTTAAATCAAGATCCACATTATAGAATCGAAAAAAATTCCGTTCGAACCCGTGCATGGCACGGGTAGAAATACTAGTATATAAAAAAGGAGAGTTGGGTCTCTAAGAATTTGACATGTGGCATGCTTATGTGATATTTTTTTAACACTTAACATGTCACCTAATTTCTCTTATAAAATTAAAAGTTGGATAAGAAATATTTGAGTAAACTTAAAAATGGAAAAAAGATCTTTCTTTTTATGACAATATGTTGTCCTAATTCTACACTTTTTTTCTCTTTATTTATTACAAAACACTTTAATAAGAAAAAATATACTCTCTTCACCCATAAATAAATTTTATATTTCTTTATGATACATCTAAATAAATGAAGTTAGTTTGATAATATTTATTTAAATATTAACACCTAATAAATAAATTATTCTTATGGTTTGAAATATTTAAATAAATTTAATTATGAAATAGAAAAATTCATTTTTTATAATAGTATTCTTTCCCAATTTAATATTTTTTACTCTCTTCATTTATAATTACACTTTTAATTAATTTTAAAACTACATTAAGGTATATTTTCTTAAAAATTACATTAAGAAATTTAAAAACAAGAGATGATTGAACTATAATTGTGTTAAATAAGAAAAATATATTATACATAACTCCATAGTTAGAATAAATTTTTTCTAATTTGATTTATCACTAGATAAATTATGTTTATAGTCCTTAGATGATTTATTATATAAATTAAAAAATATATAATGTTTAATTGTCTTCTATTATATAATAAAATTGATCAAAAAACTGTGTCACCATGAAATGCTATGTTCAAGCTAACTTTCTTTACAATTTCTACATCATTGACTGAATTTAATCTTTATATATAATTTGGTAGTTGAGCTTTAGAATGACAACATTTGGCATGCTTACTGGATTTTTTTTAAACACCTCAAGAGTCATGTCATCATTGACTTCTATGTACTTTTTATGCATTGCCTTTAAGGCTATTTTTTTTAGAGATGACATTTACTTCTTCGCGCAAGATCATATTTTCTCTGTTTCTTCTTCTGCAAAATTGATTTAAAAAATTATGGTATTAATTGTTATAAATGTGTTACATT